TCCCGCCACTGCTGCAAGGGCATCACAGAAAGATGTGTGCCCCTCGTGAGGGCATTTCAAGGACGGACCGGCGAAACACCACCAGCGGTCCAGTACGGGCATATCGGAAAGTTACGCCCCATGCTGACAGGGGCCTGCGGAAAATTTCAGAGGCTCGAGGGGCACCACAGGGTAAGTCGGCCTTCACAGGGGCATGCCCCAAATAAACGCAAACTTCGGAGGCATTTCGAAAATTTTCCAAAGAAACAAAGGGCAATGTTTTCAACTTGTGGTGACAGATAAGGTGAGCAGAGCAACCTGATAGCACATGGGAGGATTGCAGCAGAGTGCCTGAGTCGACTGTCAAAGGATTTTTATTTTTGTTTTTTTCAAACAAAGTTTAACAAACCACATTCTCGGGGGCAGCAGTCCGGTTGCTTATCACCGGCAAGCACGAGAGTACAATAGAGGAGGAGTAAGAAAAGGAGTCGGCCATGCCCTTGTGACACTAGACGCCTGCACAAGGTAGGGGGTGTCACGAATTGCCCCTTCCCCAAACAAAGGACATTTGTTTGAGAGACGGCTTGGCTCTTGAAGAATCTCAGAAGGAATACTGTGTGTGCACAACCAATTGCATGCTGAAGGAAATATTTCACATCACAAGGGTATCACCCGACACTGTGGATCAGATATTGAATCAGTCAATATTCGATGGACAGCCTTTTTTTCTCATGGTGTGGGCAGCCTGGAGCCTTTGGTCTGCAATGTCTCATATGGGGGGTCAGTATGATCCGCCATCTGTGGAGCAGACAAGTTTAGAACACAGAAAGACTACCGTCTTCACCCGAATAGAACGCCCGGTAATTATCGCCGTATCTGGGCTGAAAGCTGTGCCAAATACAGCTATAATGACCGGACGTTCTATTCGGTTGAAGACAGTCGGCGCAAATCCTTCACGATCTTCCCTCTCAGGTTGCTAAGCAGAAAAGGTTGCATGCCATAACAGCGGCCAATCATACGAGATGGGTTTATGAGTTCAGAATTGACTGGAGGCAGGTCGACGAATGGGTCAGATGGCAAGATGAGCGGGGGCGCAAGCATTCGGCAGGATAGTGGAACCATCGCAAGATGAAGAAACGTGCTAAATTGTCAATGCGTTGTCGAAGAATGGGATAGCAAAGGGTGCTCAGACTGCTCTGGGAGACCTGGGATCCAGAAGGATTGCTCCAGCTAGACCTATTCGCAAGAAGATCAGCTTCAGGCTGTGGCATTGCTGCGAAGTGTAGCCAAGAGCGCGCCGGAGCTCTGCCCCTTCTATATTGACACTACACAGGATGAGGTGGATATGGACACAACGCTGTGGAAGATCACATCGGCCAACCAGTTGCGGTGACAGCAGGGGCATCTACACCAGACAGATGCGTTTTACAGAGCTCTGCTTGAGAAGACCAACATCACGGTCGAAGTTTGTGATAGGTGTTACAAACGCAGGTGGATTTACTCAGCCACCAGGGACAGCTGGTTGGAGGACAAAACACAAACGCAACCCAACAAGAAGCACACTGGACTGTTGTGGCCAATTGTACACTCGGCAGTTCCAACTGCCGAATGGCAATCGACCAAATCACGGCATCAGGACCCCGAATGTCTAGTCTGCCAAGTCACGGCATCGGGACCCTGAATGTCTAGTCTGCCAAGCAGCGGTTGAGACCGTACCGCATATTTTTTTGAAAGTGCAGAGGAGCAGTTGAATTTTGGGGCTTTGTGGATGGAAACAAATTGGGCACCGGTGTCCTTCACAGATGTCACTCCGGCTGGCCTGCTCCTGGGCCCTATCATTCAGGGGTGAGAGATGACTCCACCTGCCCACCGCCCGTCAAGTGTGCTCAGAACATTGTCAGGGGCCTCAGGGCCGCACTCATTTGGACCCTCTGATGTCCAAGGTGGGACACAGTAAGAGCTGCGGGACCAACAGTGGTACCAGGTACCAGCCCTCAGGAACACATTCAACGACACACTGCGGACGCCCATTGTGGCGGATTTCCAGCATAGTAACACGCAACAGGGAATACCTGTTCCGTCTGATGCGGATTAATTTACAAGCTCGCTCCTGGGGCCTATCATTCAGGGGTGACGGATGACTCCACTTGACCGCCGGTCAAGTGTGCTTAGGAGATTGTCCAGGCCACACTCATTTCGACCCTCTGATGCACGAGGTGTCTGCTAGACCAAAAGTGGTACCAGCCCTCAGGAACACATTCAATGACACACTGTGGACGCCCATTCTGGCGGATTTCCGGTGTAGAAACGCCCTACCGGGAATACCTTGCTCTTCTCCATCATTTTTTCCTGGCTCTGATGCGGATTAATTTACAAGCTGGCTCCATCATATTCCGGTACCCATTACGACAAGAGCAGGCTGTCCAGAGACTCCATACCACCGAGGTGGACACATCTGCTTCTAGCCTTGTACACACCCCCTGATATTTCAAGCCTTCGTTGTCACCCACGGTGTCCTAAAGCTTCGGCCCGGTATTCCTTGAGTAATACAAGCCGTGGGCACTGGGCCCGTTGTTTAAAAAAAAAGGTGGCACCGTAGGGTGACTAGTAGGTTGTGCAAGATGGTAGACTATGCAGTTAAAAATACTAAAAATGATTCAAACCGTTAAAAAAAAAGTGGCTCTGACAGACTGACAATGAATAAAGTTCAATAAACGGCCAGTAATAAGATAGCTTTGTGAAATTCGACAGTTTGGAATACAGTAAAGAGTCTTCTGGTGTTTTTCTTAGGGGAATTGGACTGCTAACCTTCTTGCGACTGTAGGTATCAACCTTCCCTTCCCGCTGACCATGGTGCAGGGGCTCAGAAAGGCAGAACTTCGGGACCTTCGGGTGTGCAGTCCATAGCCAGCATTTGTGAGGATTGAGCCCTCAAGAACGGGCCTTGCCATGATGTACATGTTCTGGGCTAAGGCCCCAGCAAGCCTCGTGCCCTCCCTAAGTGAAGGCGGGCCAGCAAATCAACAAGAGCCCTCTGTGCAAACATTTCACGAAGTGGGGGCCATACAGTTGCAGCACGCCAGTTGGTTGGTGTGCACCGAGTATCGGAGCTCTGCAAATGCAGAAATCCCAGGGCCCCGAGTTGGTTAGGCCCCGGGCACATAAACGTGAGGCCGACAATGCATGCTGGATATAGAGGCCGAAAATGCCAATGGGAAACCAGTCCACTATCTGAATCTGGCCGCAGGCTTTGATGAAAGAGGCGCAACTGCATCTCCTGGGCCCCCAACTGCATCGGGCCTGGGTACAGGTACTGGGGCCCAGGCACAGGCTCAAGGGAGGCCGCCCACACGCAACACTGGCATATAGGCAAGCAGGGCGAGTGTGCAGGGATCTTGGCCATTGCGGGCAATGCCGGCACGCTGCGCGTTCACGAGCTGCTGTGCTGCGCTAGGTTGAGGGAAGCAGGCAGGCGCTAAGCGGTAGAGCGCTGCCTGGGCGCAGGGCGCTGGCGGCCATAGCCGGGCTGCCTGTGGGCGCAGAGGAGGAAGGGCGAAGGTGGTTCTTCGGAGGTGAAGGGCGCTGTGTGGGATAACAAGGGAGAGTGTGGGTGAAGAGTGAGACGTACCTGGTGGAGATGGGAGGTCGGCATTGGAGTTGACATCATCACTCGCTGGTCGTCAAGTTGTCTGGTTGCTTTCATACTGTAGTTGTAGTGTTAGGCTGTAGAGTAGGTAGGGCGCCTGGCGCCATTCAAGAGAGAGAGCTACATTGGGTTATGCTGTTGGTGTTGCCCTCTTGGGCTTGGACATTGACTCACGATTCTTCTGTATCGTTCTCAAATGGATGGTTACTCGGTTCCATTGTGATATCTGCTCTTGCTTTGACTACTTGGACTTCAGTGTGATTTTGCAATCTGGATTTCTGTGCTTCGTCCATATTCATGTTCCTTGCACATTGCTGTCTGGTACATACTACACAAGGGTGGTGGATGGTAAGGGGTGATAGACAATGCCTAGGAAGTTGGATGTGAATACACTTTTTGAAAAGTGTAGTCTGGATACAAAAGAGTACAATGGCAATGGGGTAAGAGATGCACATGTTTAGCGAAGCGTAGGGGTGGAACCTTTACTGGTCGAGGTACAGCGGAAAGCTAAGTAATAGAGACGATGATAACAAATGATAGAATTGGAGGTATGCTACAGTTTTTGCACTTTTTCAGATTGCTATCATTGTTTGTTTTTTTTCGTGTTTTGCTGGCGTTCAGTCATGGAGATCTGGATTCTGATATTTTTTTATGGATGTGTGCCGCCACTGCACTGAAGTGCCATTGTACAGACTTTTTGCCCCGAAGGGGGAGGTGCAGGGCACACAGCAGTCTTCTGGCAACTGGGTACGCTGGCCGTCTCCCTGCCAAGAAACCGCTGCATCCCCCCCCCTTCGAGAAGCTGTGGTGTGAGGTTGCAGCAGCACTCCGAATAGTGGCTCGTGCCTTTGGGGGAAGATTCTGTTCCTGATTACTTCTATATGCCAGCCGCCGAAATTGCCGGTGAGAATAGATGGGCCTGTGTGGCATGTGTTGGGGAAAAAAAAAAAAAAAAGGGAGATAATTGCCAATTGGTGGTTGAAAGCAAAGAAAGGCAAAGAATGAATTTCATAGAAATGAGGTATGAACTTTGAAGTACTATGAACATTCCAATGGTCTCAGGAGGTCACTCCAGGTGAATGAAATGTTGAAGGCTCCTTGTATCTGTTCAGTCAAAGACAGATGATGGTAGGGTATAGGATTGTTAAAAAAAAAAAAAAAGGAAAAAAAAGGGTATAGTATAATAGGATTGTATAGATAGGAGGGAGAGAGCTCTTCGAAATAAATAAAAAGACGGGGAAATGAGCTGCCCGGGAATGCTCGCGGGGTCTGCTCTTATCAGCACGCCTAGCACTACCCAGGCTTAAAAAAAAAAAAAAAAAAAAAAAAAAAAAAAAAAAAAAAAAAAAAAAAAAAAAAAAAAAAGGATACGAACATTTGGGTGGTCAATCTCAGGAAGTCGCTCAGCGAAACCCCGGAAATATTCCAGACTTCCCTTCCGAGGTGGCAAGTAATCAGTTGCAGTGGATCCTGTAGCCATGCCCTCTCCCCCTGTAATTCCACAAAAAATCAAACGGTGAGTGTCAGCAATGCGTCATAATTTCATTCCCCTTCTGGTTTACCAGAGAGCAAATCTTATTCTAAATCTTGATTCGATCAATTCCCCTATTGGTGTGTACCAGAGCACATTTATGGTTTATGCTCAATCTTGATCTGATTATAAATATGCACACACACATAACAAAAAAAGACAAAGAAGTAATGAAAAGAAGGTTAACAAACACACTGGAAACATGCAACAAATGTTACACACTAAAAACACAGGTATGCAGAGAACTTCCAGGACAGCAAAACGAAGTACATGACACTGCCCGAAATAAGACTCAGCCCACAAAAAGAGAGAGAGAGAGAGAGAGAGAGAGAGAGAGAGAGAGAGAGAGAGAGAGAGAGAGAGAGAGAGAGAATCATGGAAAGGAGATCCACTTGGAGGAAACTCAGCAAACTGAGGTGGCTGTAGGAACAAAGGGAGTAAGAATCAGGGAGGAATGGAGAAAGAGCTGATAAGAGGGGAGAGAGACAATGGAGGAAGTATCACTGAGAAGGACGAGGATGGGGACCACGCACTTGGAGCAAAGCAGTCCAGAAGGATTGCATTGAGAAGTCTTTCATCCCAGCTGTCCATGATCCGTCCACCGTATATTATTCCTCCCACCATGTACAGTACCCCCTTTAGCTCCTCTGTCAGCTTGTTATCGAGACTGATGGACCTGCTTCCAGCCATGTCCTGTACCTGTCCTGTTGCGGGAACCTTTAAACTATTTAAGCCTCTTGGTGGCATGCCATCTCTGCCGTCCTTAACCGTGTGGCTTGCTGTGGATGGGATTTGGCCTGGCAGGCAAATGTCGCCCTCATGCAATGCTGTCGGAACCAGCATGCCCCTGGGGCAATTGTTTTCCGGCACAGCCATTGAATCTGATGGCAGCAAGTTGCGCTTCAGAAGCCGAATCACACAGCCAGCTGCAAGGTCCAAGTCAGAACCGCAGAAGCGGTACGGGATATTCCACCTGCCATGCAGGAACATCAAACAATTTCAGAGCATGTGCACATGATTACATATATGAGAGCCAAATCATTCAACCAGTGCTGTTCCTTTTTTTTCATTTTTCAGACGCTCCACACTCACCGCCCTTTATATTATGGGTGGCACCAGTCCAACTGATGAGTTGACAAAAAAAAAAAAAAAAAAGGTTAGTTAGTTATTCCCGATAAACATAGTACGAAGTACTACGAACAGAAGAGAAGAGAGAATAAGCCCAATCAGCGCATCTACAGGACCCAATTTTGACCGCATGACACAGACGAGGAAATTGTCAATGATACAGCAACTTTCTGCGAGACGAAGTTCCTGTGGGACAACCCAGACAAGTTCAGGGGCTTCTGGATTTCACATCCGTTTCTCCTTTCTCGGATTCATGTTAAAGTTGGCAGTTTTGGGAAAACAACCTGAGAGGAAGAGGTATAGTAGGGAAGCCAAGATGACAGTCAATCCTCCAGACATGTGGAGTAATCAATGCTGCTCAGGGGTCCTTCCGCTATATGGAAGGAAGCGTGAGGGTGTTCTTGTCGTATATATCTGACTTGCCGGTGGAATAGGACCCGCACTGACGCTTCCCAGACTGGATATGGAGCCAGGGCTATAAGGTCCTGTTTTCTTTCTTTTTTTTTAGAAAAAAAAAGGAATTAGCCCAACTGCACCCCCTTGGTCACCAGCCGGTCCGATTCTGAGAATCTGACTTGCCTCACGAAGGCAGAAATTCCTGTCAATCATAGCAATCCGCAGCCTGGAGACTCTCCATGGTCCCCAGTCATCACTAACTTTCTCCATAAGGAAGGAGATGTTCGCCTTATATGCCGACCCAGGTCCAAGCGTATCACAAGAAAGGGAAAACTAGGGCGCTGTCACGGTTTCAGTTTGAAAATGCGTTTCAGTCACGATTTCGCAAATGTTGTGCCAAACCGACAAAAACCGTGCATGTATACAACCCAGCCTTAGGGTCAGCTGGGGATATGTAGTATTCAAGGGATGCTTGAAGTGGATTTAAAACTGAACTCGTGACTGCATCCTAGTTACCCCAACAAGAAAAATCACAGAAACTGTCACCTGTCTACTTTGATCCTTGGGAAGGACTCAAAGTAGTTGATGATCAGGATGAACTGTCCTATGTGATAGATATACCATCACATCTCCGGGTGCATCCAGTCTTTCATGCATCTAAACTACTACCCTACATAGAAGGCAATGACTTTCCCAGTCATTGACTGATCATTCTATCGTCTATGGATGGAGGGTACAAAATCGAAAAGATTCCGCAACATGTTTTTTCTCTATAGGTGGCAGAGGAAGACCACAAAAGCGTTACAAGGTACATGTTCAAGTCTCAGAAAGCAGATGGTTCAGTAAGAAAGAACAAATGCCGAGTGCTGCAGATATTGTGATGAACCCAGTCTGGCAGATACTCGTCAGTGGTCAAATACCAGTAGAGTCAGTATCTGCAGCAAAGTCTCCAATAATCGTGAGTGATATCCCAAACAGTATCTCATTACCAGTAGATGAG